CCCCCACCTTCTTTGCCCCCTCCTCTGGGCTTCTGACTCTTTCGGCAGCCTTTCTACTGCTTCGCCTTGGCTCCTTCATACTGCTGTCTTTAAAGCCATACCCCTGGAAGGTCTTATGGAAGGTAAGATCTGCACCTAGCCTGCTCGGACAAGGGGGAAAAATTTCAGAGGTCCCGTGAGAAGTTGTGCACGTAAAAGATCACTTGGAGGTCCAAAATCGGTATGAGTAGGCTTCGACCGCCATCCGGGCAAAATTTAAAATTTCCTACCAACAGAAAATGTATGGTGTGTCTCGCGCGCTCATAAGACCTTATGCAGTTTCGAGCGCCATAAAACACTTAGCAAAAAAATAATAATTGGCTGTGGTCTCACCTGTGACAGTAGCCACCGACAAGAGCTTTCCTCACATCTAGATCAAGGGCCAGTTTCACCAGCTTTCCCCACTATGCCCCGGCGTTCTTGCACTCTCTACCACCTTTCGGCGCGGCGTGTTTTTTGTTACTCTTTTCTTCCTTTTGGATTCGAGCTTAGCGCTTGTCTTAGGATGCTGGCTGTTTGCTCTCAAAGCGGGAGACCGATTCATTTCCAAAGTCTTTTGATCGCTACTCTTACATACTACAACTTTTACGAAAAAGAAATTCTATTGGTGCCAAAAGAAGAGCCCATCTCATTTAAATAATATATTTAATGGAGTACACAAAAGAACCTATCGAAATTTGAGAACGAGTAAAGGCGGTAAGAACATTAAATAGACTTTACATATTGACGTGTCTTTCTAAAACTTTACTAAACCAGACACATTGACCTGAACTCAATCGATCTTCTTTTGAGGGTGCACTATAAACACGAATATACTTCTTCATGTACCCAAAACGCTGCATACAGCGAGGTTTCGTGCATCAAAGATGAAAGATGGTAACTATCCTCTGTACATAGTAGCATTTTATTATAGGTTGAGCACAAACAGTGTCATACTGAGCTATGACGCGGGTACGCCTGACTCACATCCTCAAAGGGGCGCTTTTGAACTTAATCTGTATTTTCAAAGGTATTCACATCGGCATCTGTTATGTAGCGGTTAGGCGCTCCACCGTCTCATGCAGAAGACCCGACTTTGATTCCCGTGCAAGGAGAATCTTTATAAATTAATTTCTATGTCATAATACTGGGACTTCGTGGTTCTCTAAACCCTGAGTTGGGCCTGACGGTTAGGATCGAAGGCCGCCTTCTAAACGATCTAGCTTATGTCGGTGGGTCCGTAAAAAGAACCTAATTTTTTTTCGCAGCTGTGTTTTTTCACTTATGCAGTTGCGAGCGCCGTAAAACTCATACTAAACTACACTGTGTGTTTTCATATTTCCATAATTCCCCTCCAGGAGCTGTTACTGCAAAGAAGTGGTTATCAAGGAGCAGGCTGGGTGAAGTCGGAAGTCGGCTTCTCTTCTAACGGAGTTTTCAGTGTGAATTTTCGAGGGAAGAGCAGCGGGGTAGCAGTAATATTGCTGGACGACGTCAGCCTCACAACCGGGGAGTGCGATACTAGAGGTGAGAAGACGTGTACACGACAGCATATCGTCGGCCACCCTGTTCAGATGTCTAGAAAGCACAGAAAACAAGTGTTCAGAAGAGAGAAATATTTTTTTCAACGTAGAATGGGAATTACAACCAAATATCTTGAGAACGTGCAACCAATACCACGCATTAAGAAACTACACAAAAAAGTTAACAGTGTTGGGCTTAATACATCTGAACACCAGGCCGACGATACACTGTACTATATTTGCTAAAATACGGATGTTTTCAGTGAATGACTTGTTGGTTTGTTCGGGTGTTCTTTGTTTTTCCTCACATTTGTATAATGTATTATAAGGCTATAACCGCTCTTTTTTGTAACAAGTAGAACTTGTCTTATGATGTAATATCACAAATAGCCTAGACTCATGTAAGTGATATCTACCTTACTTTACTCTTACGTTTCAAGCAGATTTTCTTGCTTTCTTCCCTTTTCATTACTACAATAACCACTGGGCCAAGACCTTTACCATTGACATGATATTGCTTAGCTTAAGGCCAACTAGCACGGATTCGATTGAAATTAATTCGTCAGATGCTAAGTTGGAAAGTAAAAACTCTGAGTAAAGGAGAACAAACCCAGAGTACTCATGAACAACCAACTAAAATGGCCTAATTGGATCTTCTTCTTCTTCTTTTAGCTTCTCCAGTATTTAGACGTTGCTTCTCGGACTTTTCTGCAATGATCTGTCTCTTGCCATTTTGGATTTAGACAGAAAGGACTGAAACTTTTCCCAAGATCCTGTTTTCTACTTCGTGCGAATTTTACTTTCACAGGAGCTTGTACCTTTGAGCGAGACTTCTGTACGTGGACGAGTTCAAACGTGACAGGCAATGCTGTGTGGATGAGAGACTCGGCCAGTTCTGCCAATCTCAAATTTGGACCGGAACGGGACACGACGATTGGACAAGCCACAGGTAAATCGCCACGCCCACTCCTCGTCCGTTGTCTCATGCTAACTTGATAATTATATCAATTAGATAATCTTGATGACCTCACTTACCTATTCGTTGTACACTGAGCGATTGCTATCAAATCATGACTTCGATGTTAAAGTTTGTTTCAAAGACATTCACAAGCTTAAACGTTCTTTTGTAATGGCATGTCTTAAACATAGAGACTGCAAGTCGTATATTAAATACCATGGTTATAAAACAGTCTTGCTCGAAGCTGAAAACGTCCTGCTAGTTAGTTTTTAGATTTGTTTTGATTGATGAGTGAGGAGATTGTCATTTATTTAAAAAGCCTGCTTTGAAACCAGCAGTTCACTCGATCCCTGTGGTACCGTACCAGGGTACCGCACCAGAGAGCTCAAGATGAGTCCAAAGCATTTGGGGTGGATTTTGAAGACCGCAAAGTTATCTCTATTGACTTTGTTTTGGTTCAGGGAAGGAACTTTATTTTTTCTGTTTGAAAAGGTTTTAGTCGCTTCATCAACAGTCAATCATTCTACGTGGCATCGTTTAAGATATTGCGTGGCATGTCAGTACAAAACAGTGATATGTCTTGGAAATATGCTTGTCAGTGGTTCTAGATTTACTTTCTTCTGAGCTCTTTTACGGGAAGTGAATCAGAATGAAACAAAAGTAATTTTTTAATTTCTAGGTCACTATGCCTACGTGCCACCGTCCACGAAATTACACGACGTGTCCCAGAAAGCTTGGTTGGACTCAGAAACGTTCCCTTCTTGGCGAAACCAATGTCTCCACTTTGACTACAACATGGCGGGGGTGGAGCCGGGCTCTCTGCGTGTCTACGTCATGGACCTTCTGGCGAGCAGCTCCATGCTCGTCTGGGCGAAATATGGCTACCAGGGACCGGACTGGAAACACGCATATGTCCCGATAAGAGGGAATGGTAATTACAAAGTGAGTGCTGATGCTACTGATAGTCCAAAAATTCAAAATTATATTAGATCAACGCTCATTTCAACATTGTAGGGTTAGTTAAGAGGAGGGAGCTCCAGATTTAGAGCCCTTTTTGGCTGCCTATACCCAATACCAGGGTGAAAGAGGCGAATGATGACTTCCAAATTTTACATCCATCTCCAAAACGACCGAGTCAAATGGATGGAGAGCCTTCAAAACTCCCCCCCCTAAAAAAACAACAACCAAAAACAACAACAATCCAGTTTCAAAACGCCTCTTTGGGGATTGAAAACCAAGCCAATCCGCTATGTTGACACAGCTGAGCTATAAACACTCCCACTGATAGTTGGTTTTAATCTTAGGTAATGGATGACATGAGCCTGAAGGGGCAGTTGTATATCATACACGTAACTGAATTGTGGAAAAGATTATGTTTTGTTTTATTCATGGCTTTTTGTTTTACTTATTGTTTTACTCTCATCATTTCCAAAATGACCAACATGGTAATAAAGAGGGACTTTCACATTTACGACATGGAGAAACAAAGGGAGACCAAGGCTTCACTGAATCGACTGTGTAAAGGACATCTTCAGAGAACATGTTCCCCAAGCCACTCGACTCACAGCTCACAAACGATTGTTTCTCCCTGCGACACCCACCGGTAGCAGCGAAAAGAACGAAAAAGTACTAAAGGAAGCATGCATGGATTTACAACAAATGATATATTTCCATGTTTTTCTTTCAGACACGTTTTGAATATGTCCGTGGCTATGGCTTCGATTCTGCCGTGGCCATTGATCAGATAACACTGTCACCGGAAGAATGCCCAGGTAAAACATAGTTTGTTTGTTTTAAAATCGTCATTAAGTTATAGAAAATATGAGGGTGACATTTTTCAGATTCTCCTATATTAAAGAAAAGTGGTCAGGGTGACAATTTCTGGTTCACAGCTAGTTTTGTTTGTGTTTTCAAGTCAATCCAGGTCAGCTTATTCCAAAATAATAGAACAACGAAAATAAAAGTCACACCGCAAGCGAAACACTATCTAAAGTAGGTTGTGGTGAGGGTCATATCATACACGTTGGCCTCAGTAACCTTTCCAGCACTTCAGGCAGAAATTTAAATCTCTCTTACGTCTTCAAATTAATTAGATTCAGTTTGACAGAACACGGAGCAGTATATTTAGTAATGTACATGGCCTTAACCATTATCAAATTATTCGTAGAGATACGATCTATATGAAATGTGGATATATTATAGATTGTAAAGCCCCTAGAGCTTGCATCTGAGCGGGGATAAGCGCAATACAAATACCATTTGCCGTTTATAACTATTATGTGGGCGAAAGCTGCTTGGGTTCCAAAGTATGATCCCTTTTCTGAACGAGTATGAGCATAATGTACGATCCTTAAGTTCCCACACACACAAACTTTCGAAATACACGAGAACAAAAACATTGCAGTTATCACTAAGAAAGGTGCATTGTCGAAAGACCAAGTTTTATAAATCTGTTCATTAATAACTTGTATAGAACGCCCCTTTCAACGTTGCGGGCCTTTTTAAGTTTATCATTTCACCCACAAACTCAGTCTGGTCGCAGCACTGACAACGTAAGGCAATGTTTGGTTACAGTGAATAAATAACCAATTACAATTAGAACATTGCAGACAGGGCCATTTTGTGGTACCCTATGGGTGTAATACTACTCTCAAAGCTAAAAGATTATGCGGATCATCCGATTTAACGCCCATTTTCAATAGGACCGTTCGATACGACATTTTGATAGGACCAGGTCAGGTGGATGGCCATCCATAAAACTGTCTAATCAGTCATTTCGATAGAGCATATTCGGAAATTTGAACCAGTACCATTTACACAATCGTTCAGCATGATACAAACGAGTATCAGTATCACCTCACCCATCCTTTAAGCCACAGACGTCGTTACTGATAACGAGCTCGAAGTGATAGGAACCAGAGTAAAGGAAAAACAACCTTGTTGACTGCAATAATTCTTTTGTGTGAGATATACCTTGTTAATAAAAAATATACCAAAGGAGATCATGGCGTACCGTTGAGAATTCGAAAAGAAGAACTTGTGGAAAATCGCACAAGCTGAAATCATATCTACACAAAATTGCACCAGCGGACTATATAGATCCGTCTTGTCGAGCCTGCAGGGAGATGGACGAGACTATGGACCACGTGTTTTTGAATTGTCCGGTCAACTATCGTGCCAGAACACGTCTGCTGGGACATTTCAGCGACCCACGTTCAGCGCTTTTTAAGGACCCCTGGGCAAATGTTGAGTTCCGGCGTGCTGTCGGCATCGCTGATCGATTATGACGCCATAGCGCTAGAAGAGAGAGAGAGAGAGAGAGAGAGAGAGAGAGAGAGAGAGAGAGAGAGAGAGAGAGAGAGAGCAAGAGAGAGCAAGAGAGAGAGAGAGAGAGAGAGAGGGGGGGTTCGAACCCGGGTCAACATTATGTCAGTTGAGAGATAACAGAACACAAGGGACGATTTTGGATACTAAGAATACAACTAATCATTATCCACCTTTGTTATACAGGTACCAGTGACCTGATACAACTGCCCTCAACGACCTTATCGCCACCGACCCCCAGTTCCGTGTGGGCCAACGTCCCTCCCAGCTTTTACGACTGTACTTTCGAGGGCGGGAGTACGTGCAATTGGACACAGGACTCTGGGACAAGCATGCAGTGGGCCGTGCACAAGGGAGAGGATTTTCACCAGCAGGACCATACGAATAACTCGGGTAGGTCAATTTGATAGAATAGTACGAATTCCATTTTTATTAAGGGGGTATTTTGGGTTGCAGTGGCAAACACACACACACACACACACACACACACACACACACACACACACACACACAGACACACACACAATTTCCTCGACACATACATACTTAGAGACAAATATACATACAGTTGATCAGTTACCAAATGCACAATATCATATGGAGCCAAATGCGCCCTGGTTTCTTTTAGCTGAGGTTATTGTGTCTTGAGCAAGGACACAGTCCACGGACCACCTGTTCAAACGGTGTTGTGTCCTTTATTTGAGTCGAGGAGTTGTAGAAAAATTGGTAATGTTAGATTATACTTTCTTATCACATGTTGTAGAAAAATGAAACGCTATCAGCTAAAAACTCTCAACGTACACTAACCGCATAAGCAACTACTTGAAGAGATACTGATTTACCATTCATTTCATATGCCTGGTAGTCGGAGGGCGTTATTGCTTAGGTCTTACTTCTTATCTTTTCCTCTTTTGTTTCTATCTGTTTGTCTTACCTTTTCCCTGCACCAAATGCTCGTTACCTTGTTTATGTGCTTCTCTTTCCACCCTTATTGCATCCTTTAAAAATCAAACTTTCTTCTCCGCAATTGACCCCACGGATATTCAAGCTAAGTCATGTGTCATGTGTTATGTATTGCAAATGAAATGTTATACTATGAAATACGGACTTTCAAACTTGGAAGTTTCTTTTTCTCCACCTTCTTAAAATGTGCCGTATTTAGTTTTTGTCACTGAAGTCTTCAAATATTTTCCAGTCTCAGGATACATTCTTGCCGCGGACGCTTCCACGTCTGGGACAGACAACTCCACAGCCCGCCTCCTGAGCCCAACGATTCCTCCCGGTCCCCGGTGTGTGCTGCTGGCGTTCAGTATGCGTTGGTTTGGCACCTACTCCCTCAACGTGTATCGTAGGATTGACGGGAAAGGGGAAGAGCTATTGTGGAGTAGGCGGGGCCAACAGGGTGTCGGCTGGAAGGAGGCGGAGTTTCCTGTGTCATCAGACCAGCCGTATCAGGTAGGTTAAGTTTGTTGCAGGTGTTGTTGGGTTGTAGCTTACGTTGAGTGGGTTCTACACTGGCATCGTTTCACCGAGAACGAAGTAGGATAATAATACAGTGGAACTGATACACAAGACTTGACTACACAAGAGCCCCGCAAACGACAGCCCTAGATCTAGATAAGACAAACATTTTTTTTTTTAAAAGATGCAAGCTAAACATTGTTAAGATGTTGTTAAGATAGGTCCGCCTCAAGTCAATATGATAAAGGTTGCACTTCACTTTGAGCATATTTGGATAAGAGCAACATTGTAAGTGGAAGGAGCGACACAGATTGCAAACAGATAAGAAGCAACTTAACTACGGTAATTAAATAAAAACAAACCCAAAACAACTGACCATTTCCTTCCTTAACATCATAGAAGGCATTAAGGACATTTTAACGTTCCTCTCCGAACGTTCGGGAAAATAAAGCTAGGCACTATTTCTCCGAACGTTCGGGAAAATAAAGCTGGGCACTATTTCTCCGAACACTTTGAAATCACATCCTTTCCCGCAAATTTCGGATATTATATAGATGTATAATTATAGTATAGGCCTACCAAAGATTGTTCGTATACAGTATGGTTCAATCGGTCCAAAAAAATGTCCGCAGTAAATATTTATATAAAGAAATGCTAGAGTTCCAAATAGTTTTTCGCTGCAGATATGACGTGTTGCCTATGAAGGGTGCTGCTCTTAAACTTGTTGTGTTCACTCGTGTGCTGTCTAGATGTAGATCTAGATCTACGGAGGGTTATTGATAACGACACATAGAACTAGCATCTGCATTAATTTGTCGCGGCCCCGACTAATCAATCGTGGCTCGATTTTTTGGCATTTTTTGGTCCCCGAATCTGGGAATAAAAGTCAAATAAAAAAAGAAAAAAAAAAAGAAAAAAAGAAAGAAACCGAACCTCTTTACTTTTGAAAGAAAGT